GAATTCAGCTTGCTTGCTTGCTTGAGCTGGGGGATGAAAGACCTTATTTATCATTTTCAGTGAATGATTCTAGATCAGAATCATGAATCATCAGTTTGATCATTAGACAAAGAAAGCGGGGTAAGCAAGTGGGGTAAGGAACAGTGAATAAAGAATCAAATAATCGAATAATCAGAATGATATCAATAATACGAGACTTCGAATAATCAGAATGATATCAATAATACGAGACTTCATGTGAAAAATGATTCATCTTTATCTTATCCATCTTAGCTGGGATTCACATAGAATTTGTATGGGATTCTCAGCTGAGTTGGGTAGTCAAGAGATGATTACTTTAGTTAGTAAGGATTCCTGATTTCCAGCCAACACTTGTAGTTTTATATTAGTATATATAAATAAGTATAGTTAATCTAGATTTCTTGCAGGGATTGTAGGATTAGTACTGACTGGAAGTTTCTTATATAATAAGTTTTAATATAATTACAGGTTATGGGGGGCAGGAAGAAGCAGATAATAGCTAGTAAACAGATTAAAAAGAAAAGAAAAAGTATTAATATAGTAATTATTATTATTATTATTATTATTATATAGATATATTTTTAAGTTAGTTTTATCCTGTATAATATAGATAAGATAGATAAATAAAAAATTAAGCTTAGTAATCTGTTTTTGATTATCTAGCATGTATAATATATTGGTAGTAGTAGTAGTAGTTAATAGTAATAATTAGTAATAATAGTAATTAATAATAATAGTAATAGTAGTAGTAGTAGTAGATATATTAATAGAAGATAGAAAAAAAAGATAAAAATTACTTAATAAATTTAAACTAATACTGTATTTATTGTTTTAATTATTTATTTTTTATTTTATATATATAGAGATTTTATTATTGTGAATCTTACTCTGCCTGTTCTACTTTGCTATATAAATTTATAATTTTATTATTTAATAAAATAGTATATAATTAGAGATCTGATAATCTATATTTAACTGTCTGATTTTTATTATTCTTCCTGATTATATATCTTTTTCTTGTATAATAAGGTAGAGAGGAAGACTAGAATAATTAATATTTTAGTAAAGTATTTAAAATTTTTATTTTAATATTTAGAATATCAAGATCATCCTGATCTTCTTATATAGTTAATTTTTCTTATATAATTAATTTCTTTTTTTTAATAATTTCTATTTTAATTTTCTTTTTCTTCTTCTTAATCTTAGTCTCCTCTGCCTTATTTATAATAGAAAAAGATAGTATATAATACTAGATAATTATATAGACTTGGTATAATCTATGGATATTTATAAATTATTTTTTTAAGAAGTTCAAGATCTTTATATTATCTCTAGCTTTTGGAAACAGAAAGATTAGTTATTTCTATATAATTTCTGTTAATAAACAGAAGTAATCTTTAATTTAATATATATATATACTGCTAGATATTGAGAAAAGCAGCTTATCTCTAAGAAAATTATTAAGGCCATGAAGTATATAATTATTAATATAAGTCTGTATCTATTTTATAAAATAATAAAATTAGTATTATATAAATATTAAGAATAGAAAGTTAAACCTAGTAAAATATATATAATAATTAGAATATTATCTTCAGATTCCCCTTCCTGTATATTATATAGATAGAAATAAATAATAATCTTTATATTAATTAATTCTTTAGAAGTCTTCTTATATAAGAAGATATTCTAGTAAATATTTTTTTCTCTAAATATTATTGTACAAGGACTAATACTAGATAAGATAATTTATATATATAAACTAGATTATATAGATTATGGCTCAGATAATATAGTAAGATTAATATAAATAATTTATTAAGATAAAGAATTAACTATCTGGCAGGTCAAATATTACTGAATATAAGTAAAATAAAATTAGCTAGTAAAAGAGTAGTAGTTAGTCCAGGAAAGAGCTATTTTATATAAAAGATGCCTTGTACAAGCAATGCCTTATATAAAAGATATTAATTTTTTATTCTGTATAGAGAAAAGCAGGATCTTAAGATTTTAAATAAGCAGTGAAGTAGAAAGAATAGCAAATAAAAAATATATAGTTATTATAGATAGTTACTCTGATCCCTGTTACTTGATTTAATTAAATATTCTAATTAATATCTTGGATAGTATTAGATCAGATCTAGTATCTGATTTTATATATATTATTATCTATTTCTGTAAGCTAAGATAGATTATATAAAAAAAAGCTTCTGCTTTATCTAGATATATTAATAATAGCTTTTCAGGGTTAAAGCTTAATCTTAATAGGATTTTTTAATATTATTTTAAAGTTTCTATAGATAGATACTCAGTTATATTCCAGTTTTATACAGTGTTTCTTAGCTGCTGGAGAGACTTTTTATATATAAAAAGATTATAATTAGTTATATATTCTAGATAATAATAATTTATATACAGCTAATTAGAGATAATATATAGTCTTTTTTATTACTTCCGGATGCTGTATTAGTTCTAGATATATATATATAATAAGACCTGCGTCTGAAGAATAGATATATAGACTATATATAAAATAATTTAATTTAATATTATATTTTTAAAGAAGTCTTCTACTTTAATTAAGGTTTTAAAGTAGTTCTATATTAATTAATACAGAGATATTCAAGGATTGGTCTGTCTGTATATATATAATATTAAAAAAATAATAATTTACTTAATTATATCTACTAAGTCTTAATTCTCTAATTTATAGTACTGGATTTAAAGATATAATACTGTGTTGTCTTAATCTCTGGCTTATATACTTTTTAAAAATAGTAGTAAATTTTAGTAAGTAAAAATATCTTTAATCTATAGTCTGAATAGATTTTATAACAGATAATCTTCTATTTATATACAGTATTAAGATATTACTGTATAATATTGACTGATATATGAGTATTAATGCTAATATAAATTTAGATAATATAATAAGAGTATATATCAATAGCTATATAAATTTAGATACTATACAGATTTAACTTTATATAATTATTTATAGACCAGATATAATCTGGTCCAGAAATAGTATATAAGCTATAATTTTATTACATATTATTCTGCTGTTATTGTATAGCCTCAGGTATAATTATATAGTAGATATCATATAACTAATATCTGAAGAAAGATCTCAGTTAGTAAAATATTAATATATAACTGCTCTCTGTATAGACCTTAGAATAATAAGATATTTACTATATATATAAATAAATAAAAGCTCTTATTTATAGTCTTTAATAATCTCTTCATTATATATCTCAAGCAGGTGCTTCATAGCTATATCATCCTGGAGCTAACACTTACTAGAATTATCTATTCATCGGACGAGGCCTTACTCTGTATAGATTTATTAAAGTATTTATAAAAAGACAGTGTGTCCTTCAGCCTGTAGAGTATATAGAATCTCTATATCAGAGAGACATCTCTCAAAGAACAACTCCTTGATCCGGCTGTGTAGAGAAGAATCAGTGGTAGCCGTATAATCATACTTGCTAACACCCCAACCACTCAACCTGGTCTTGATTGTACGCTCGCGGACTCGTACGTGGTGTCATGCCTCAATAATAGAGGTAATATGAGCTGTAGAATAGTCCTCATGGAATAGACTAATAATCTCAGCCTTGTACAGCTCAAGATCAATAGCTGGACATACCATGATTAACACCATGATGAACAAATAAAGCACTGTACGTAGAGTAATGATAAGCATCATATAGCGGTGAGGTCAGCGGTGAGCGTACTTCAACACCAAAAATCGTTTTTGCCCGATGGCCGCTATTAACCGCCGTAATGGAGCTTCATCCACTCGCCAATCCCATCCAGCCCTCGATATTAACCGCATGTTAGGCTTTCAGCTCGCCCGTGGCCACCCCGAGGTAGGAGATGGCCGTGTGTCCGGCCGTCCGCAATAGCCTGCCCCCTCCGTAAGCCTGTTTAGCCCGCTCGGAGTCCCCCAAAGGTCTATTCCCCATCTTATCCTTCTCACAAGGGAAATAACTGGATCTGGCGCTGAGTGTCATAGTAAAGATATGATTGACTGTCGACATGTTCATCTCGTGGTCGTTGAACCCTGGCCCTCCAACTTCCCCCGACTCAGATTCGTCGCCTCCGATGACATCCCAGCCCAGAATCCGGTCCCGCAGCGGTTGTCTTACGTGTCGTCGGAGACGGGTCAAATGCGACGGTGCGTGTTGTCCATTGCCTGTCCCATTCCTAGGTTGATAGGAGCCTCGTGCTCCTAATGACTCGATCCGGTGTTCTACACGGCAAAATTTAATCGACAACGAAGCTCATTCTCCGGTGCGTACAGAAGCTCATCCAGTATGTATGCGCTGCCAACGGTCGAAGAATCAATGCACCTACGGGGTTCGCCTTCAATGGGAGGATGATATGCGGGCCGCGGGGAAATGCCATGGACGAACCGGGATCGTAGCCAGAAGGGGTTCGCTTCGATGCAAAGAATCTGAAGAGGACGATCAACTTCCGTCTTCGAAGCGGATCGAACGCAAAGATCAACTTGGTAGCGACGGGGAATCCGCTTTGATCCTCACTCCACCCTCTTCGCACAGCCCACTGCGGGCCGCGACGTCAAAAAGCGTTTCTTTTTTGACCCGAGACACATATCAGAGTCAGTATCATCACTGGAAAGAAAGCAAGGTCCAGTCATCAAGTACCAATTTCCGAACCTTGCCCTGGACCCTCGGTGTACCGGACGTTGATGATGTGTGCTTGTCGTTTTACGAGTCGATGATGATGTGCCCTGCTGCCGTTACTATCGACAACGAGGAAACCAATCCTCTTCGCAATACAGTAATGCGCATGGTATTTCGGTCTGAATTGGCATATTATTCTGTACTCATGACTAGCGCGCAGTACCTGAGATCAATCGATAGTCGCTTTGAACTATTTGAAATTCAGGTCCGGCAAAGGGTACTCAAAGGCTTGCGTCAAGCGTTAGCGAAAAGTTGTTTTGAGTTTGAAGACGTGCTGCTGCCGACTATATTCCTCTGCTCTTCGGCTGTATGTAATCTCCTCGGTCCTGGTATTCTCATGAGTGTCAGTATTGACTCGCCGCAGATATCCCAAAGCTGTGACGCCTCTTGGGTTCGCCACCTGACATGTTTCCAGATGGTCATCAAGCAGAGGGTTCGTCGCCACACAAAAACATATGTGCCGCAACTATTCATGAGTTACTTCTCAGCGCATCTAGTGCTGGCAAAGTCCCTTTTCCAAATTGACAAGGTACTACCTGCTGTAGAAGTGCGGAACGATCCCTCGTCACCCGTAGAAGAAGAGACCTGCTGGACTTCTTCAGAGTCACTGTCCAAGGCCATGAAACCGGATACGCTTCGCGAAATTGACGTGTGGAATGGCATGAGTAACCGCATGCTCCTGCTTATTAATGATATATTGAGCCTCAAGGATGATTTGCAGGTCATGTATGGAGAAGGGTTCGAAGTTGAAGAGAGACGAAGCGCCATCGAGGCCAAAATTATCACTTTACAAAGGAATCTCCAGGACACAACACATTTGCTCCCTGCATCACTGCGACGATGTCAGGATTCCGCCGAGGTTGTCCATAGGCGTCGTCTTCTTGAGTACACTGGCGAATCCTATCGTCTTGCTGCGTGCCTGCTTCTCTCAGAAGCGTCCACGCCAGCTTTCCTCGGCTACACCAGTGAACACAGTCTGGGGTTGGATGCAACGCGGAAGCAGCGCCATGTCGACTATATCCTATCTCTGGTAGAATCAATAGTCTCATCGCTGGATCACCTCCCAATCTCCTGGCCTTTATGGCCACTCTTCATTGCCTCGTGCTGCAGTACGACCGAATCTGAGAAAGCACGGGCCTTGGCACAATTCCAGGCAGCTCAGGCAAAAGCCCCGTATGAGAATACGGTACGGGCACAGACGGTTGTTGAATTACTGTGGCAGCGACGTGAGCTTTATGTGGCAGGGGAGAGAACACGAACCGGTCGGTTTGAGTGGGAGTTGGTGATGGAATTCCTGGGGTGGCAGACGAGCTTCGCCTGAGGATTCTTCGTCACCTTATTCACGTGCACATGATTTCCAGCTGTATACCCCAGGCATCGTTTCCAGAATTAAGCAGTATCAAGATTTTTTTCACTTTTTCAACCCTACTGCACACTTATCCTCTTGCACCTGCTTCTATCCTATCCTACAAACAGTACCGATAATTTTCGTTCTGCCAATCTGTAATATCGCCTGAATCGTTGTGGCCCGAATACGCCTGGACAGCATCCTCCATCTCTGGTGACTCGGGCTCAATGGTCCGGCCCTGCTTGCGATTCCTTCGCTCATTCTCCCACATCGTGTATACTCGCAGAGCAATGACATCCGCGACAGCAATGCAGAAGCAGGCCAGAATAGCGGCGAACGCAGTCTACACGTACCGTCAGTATCTCAACAACAGCAGACAAAGGAAGACTGAGTGAAATAGAAGAGAGGACTCTTACCAAGTACTTTGGCGCTTCGTTGGTCTTGAATAACTGCGGGCCGGCAATATTTCCCACGCAGTACCCAATGAAAAGTATAGCTGTCACGATACTTTTCTTGGTGAATCCGGCAAAGTTGCTTGAGACCAGACTAAGACTAAGAGGCCATCCGGCACCAAAGACACTGACGAGCCAGACCCTACCAACCGACCCCATTTCTTCTCGGTAGGGAGCTGCCGCATGAGAAGAATACCAATGAGGCTGACCAGAAGAGTGATAATCATCCAGTAGCAGCGGAGACCACGGAAGCAATTGCACGTGAACGCACTAACAAGCAGAAAGACGAGAGCCACAGCAGCCATGGGGATGCTGTACAAAAGAGTGTTGAAGGTATCAAAGCCGAAAGACTCGATAAACAGGCTAGAGAACTGCCTACTTGTTTAGTGCATGTTTCTTTCGTTCATATGGTTCAGATGGCTTGAGAGAACTCACGTTTGTTATGCCTCCATTTGGCAGGGAGACCATGAAATTGTAGACGAACAAGAACCATGTCTTCGGGTCAAGCCATGCTTCAATAAATTGATCTTTCTTCCATTCGCGGCTCTGTTAGTTCTTCTGACATGCTTGCGCGCGAAGGTAGGCGGGCTCGCGCTGATTCAGTTGAAGGAACTTGGCGTTACGTGGGGAGTCGGGCAGGACGAAGAACAGGGATATCGACCATCCCAGGGTGATCAGTCCGAAAATGATGAAGAGCCATTGCCACGGCCCCAATCTGTCTTCAATGTGACCGATGGCGTAGGCGAGAACTCCTCCGAAGATTGCAGCAACGCCGTTGCCTGCGAACCAGATACAGCTGCGCAGAGCGTGCTCTGATGGCGTATACCACATACTCACGACCAAGGTGAACCCGGGGCTTATGGCGCTTTCAAAGACTCCCAAAAGTACACGTAGGACGGTCATCCCTGCAAAGTTGGAAGCTGCTGCGTGGCATGTCAAGACGATAGCCCATAGAATCCTGGCCCGCGTTAGTATATTGTTATATGGGTTGGAAGGGTACTAGCGTACATCATAGTAGAAAGGTATTTGCCGAGCGGAAATTTTACAAAACCCAGGGATACAGGGTAGGATGCGACTAGGATACCGAAATAAAAGGCACTCGAGGTCCATGAGTAAAGAGCTGTGGTCATGTGCTGATATAATGTTAGGTGAAGCTGAAGCTGAGGAGCACACGGGATCGGAGCATACCGTGCCACTCAGAAGGCCCAGGATCGATGCATACGACAAGGTGGTCTTGTCGAGATATTGCAGCAAGTATGAAGAAAACATCAATGGAAGAAGGCAAAGATCAATGCGGCGAATGATGGCCTTCTCATCCCTCTCTGGAAGATGTTGGATAGTCTCACTGGGGTCCTTAGCAAAGCTCTTCTCGTCCTCCGTTGGAGGAGAGGAGTTGGTACTGTCCGAGGTGGACATGTCGGATGGTTGTTCTGAAAAGACAGAATCCTTGCTAGGACGATGCGAGTAGCAAAGGAAGGACAGGAAAGCTCTTTAACCTCCGTTCAGGACAATATACTATCATATGCAGTACGGTCTCGACCCGGGATTAATTGACGGTACCATCTGGCGCTGCGCCGTTAGGGCTACTGGCGTGACGCCGCTGCCGAGGCTTGGGCCCGCTGATGTGTTGCCATTCCGACTAGCTGCATGCTTAGGCTCACGCCGGTTTATTACGGTCATAGCTTGTATGCCCAACTAAGCCAGAATAGGCACGGAAAATCCTCGCTTCGACCTACTGATCTGGTAGATTGCAACCCCAAACGGGCCTCGCCAGACTGTCGGCCATCACACGAGTGCCTGGCTTCGCGTCTTATGTGGTCGCTATCGACAAATCAGCCATCTTCAAGTGGACACACGACGTCAAATGAGCACATAGCCTCGGCATCCTGCATTCAATTAATATATGCTGCTTTCCTAGCTGGACTAGGATCACATCCTTGTCAGTGTCAGAACTGTGATCAGAACTGCGTTGAACCCATACCCACCCCTTTAATTATGCATCGACCTCTGACAGACAGCACTCTCTACCGCATCAACGCGGGTATTCTAATTCCAGGAAGGGGAGCACCAATTCCTCGCGGAGCTGTGGTCTGGAAATCCAAAACAATCCTCTATTCTGGCCCGCAGCATGAAGTACCAGTCGAGTATCAGGATGCTGTTACCACAAATGTCCCCGTTGCCATGCCAGGCATGTGGGATTGCCACATTCATTTCTTAGGCGCAACGGCGGCGAGCATGGATTCTATTGTGAATACGCCACAAGCATTGGCAGGGGCACGAAGTGTGCCTGACTTATATGCAACCATTATGGCGGGATTCACCTCAGTCCGCGAAGTTGGAGGATACGGTTGCGAGCTGGCCAAAGTCATCGACGAGGGCCGCATTCCAGGACCGACCATCTACGGTGCGCACAGCGCCATCAGTATGACCGCAGGCCACGGAGACGTACACGGTGTGAATCTCGAGGGCTTGCGTGACCTATGTACGCATGGCTTGCCTTTGACAATCGCAGACGGTGTGCCTGAGTGTCTGCAGGCCGTACGAAAGCAGCTGCGGCACGGGGCACGCGTCATCAAAGTCTGCGCCAGTGGTGGCGTAGTGAGCGCTATCGACGACCCGCAGCATCAAGAATTCTCGTTCGAAGAACTGAAAGCTATTGTTGACGAGGCGGCGCGGGCAAGACGCGTTGTGGCCGCTCATTGTCACGGCAAGGCAGGCATCATGAATGCTCTCCGTGCGGGTTGTCGCACGATTGAGCACGGCAGCTATCTGGATGAAGAGGCTATCGACTTGATGCTAGAGAAGGGGGCTATGTTGGTGGCAACACGCAGTGTTATCGAAAGCGGACTTGCTATGCGTGATCTCTTCACGCCCGGCTCATACCAAAAATTGCTCGAGGTAGCTGATACGCATAAGAGGGCGTATCAGCTAGCAGTCAAACGTGGCGTGCCTATTGCTCTTGGTACAGATCAATTCATCAGCTCGGATAATCCCGCATTGGGATATGGACGCAATGGTGGAGAACTGGTGTACGCGGTTGCGGCAGGCATGACACCGCTGGCTGCAGTTGAAGCTGCCACAGCCAATGGGCCGTTAACACTCGGTGACCAGGCGCCAAAGAGTGGCCAAATGAGGGAGGGATTTGACGCAGATATCATCGCACTGACAGCAAACCCACTAGAGAATATAACAGTGGTCTCTGATCCGAAGAATATCACGCATGTATGGCGATATGGCAAACTTGTCAAATCAGTCTAAAGTGGTACCTGATAACAAAATAAGACTTGTCTTCGTCTCTTCGATATGTCCTTATTCCATCCTTTCACCTGTCAATGCCTATCTTATATAAGGAGGGGATCGCTGAGTGTGCATACTAGTTTACGCTCGACGCGTCCTGACGAGTCAGTGACACGGAATGCCAATTCAGTTCACTTAGCCCACCTGATCCTGGGGAATACTGGTGTCGACACCATAGATGAGTATTTTGGCGTATCCCGTGGGAAGCGCTCTCACGAGCTCACTTTGATTCTATGCTGTGCTGCATACTGTATGTCTTCTATCTGCTAGATACTCTCCTGTGTCAATTGCTAAATGCTCATCAATTGTCTAAATTGGGTATGCACCAGGGACCCTTACCTGAAACTGGACGAGTTATTAGAAAGATATGAGGACGATGAGCCTTGAATTGGCACAGTAAGTTATTGTGGTGGAAGAAAGAGCGAAGGAATGTGAATGGAGAACCTGAGGCTCCAACCCGCCAAGTCGAGCAGGCTGAACTTCTGCTTTTCTCACTTCACCCCCAACTTAGCCAGCGACATATTCCTCGTTCGAATCGATTTATCCACCCCTTTTACCGTCCTGCATTTTTCGCGGGTTTCAATTCCGGTCTTTTCCGCTCCTGAAACCAAGCCATTCGTCCTCTTCCGATAGTAAGTAAGCAGCGCCACTTGAAGCTCGGATTCATACCTAATTCGATGATGGGCGCAATGATTGACCCCCTTGCCAACCAGATACCGTTGCGGGATATAAGCGGCATAGGATCACTTATGCAGACAGATAGTGACATTGCTTCGTTAAACAGGGCTCTTGTGGGTTAGCCAAGACTATCGATGGTCTGGACAACCTCCAGCAATATGGATTGTCTGGATATCCGGATAGGTCGGCAACGCTCAAAAAGGGAGACTGTCGGTTATCTATGCCGCCAGATCTAATCGGCATGCCGCCCCCTCAACGCAATGCCTGAAGAGTTTCAAGCGCTACGCGTTTGCTGAAACATTGATTGGGCGTGACATCCGGTCATTCGACTAACATACCCCAGCGCAACTGTTTGACGGAGGACGCTTCATCCTCGCCACCCGCCGTTTGCTGCAGCCAAACATTGCTACTTGGAAAATGGTTATCTCTACGGCATCGAAAAGAAAAGTGAGAACAATCATGATCTTCCCGAGGTATTCTAGAAAGCCGACCCACCGAGCTATCGTGAATTTGTCGTGGACATTTCATCTATTGTGAAACAGCTATGGGGCAAACAACCGAGGCCATTGCATTATATTGCCGTTTTGGGAAGACGATAGAAGCCGATCATCCGCCCTGACGATTGAACCAGATGCGGAACCTCATGGATAGTTGATAGCAGGTGCACGGTGCACACAATGTTTCTCATCTGTAAGTACTCCACTCACGGGTACTCGGCTCACCCAATTCAATTGAGGTATCACTAGAGGCTCTTCATCATTTTGGAGACCCCTAGGGGCTCCGTAAATGTATATAAGATGCTTCCATTCTCGTGAACTGCAGAAAAGCAATATCTCGTGTATTATCAATCTTGTCCGGCTATTAATAAAGCTGTTATGAATCCTCCTGAGTTCCCGGAAGACGAAAAGTCTTCCGACTTACCAATTCCAGAACGAAAGAGTCTCGACACACTGAATGTTCCCCATATAAATGTTCGAGAAGCTCCAAGTTCAGAAACCCTGACAGTACCCCATGCGAACACCACCTCCCCTCCTGGGAAAGACGCGGAATGGAGCATGACCCCGCAGGTGATCCGGAGCCAGGAACGTGAGGCTGCGGCAGGATTCAAGAAGCGAGAGCTAGGTGTGACCTGGAAGAACCTCGGCGTGGATGTCCTTGCAGCGGAGGCAGCAGTCAATGAGAACCTATTCTCCCAGTTCAATGTACCTCAACGAATCCGTGACTTCACCCGGAAACCACCCCTGAAATCTATATTGACGGAAAGTCACGGCTGTGTCAAGCCAGGGGAAATGCTCCTAGTCTTGGGACGCCCGGGTTCAGGGTGTACCACTCTCCTCAATTTACTCTCCAATCGCCGCCTTGGCTACCATACCATCAAGGGCGACGTGAGCTTTGGAAATATGTCCCATGAAGAAGCAGCTCAATATCGAAGCCATATTGTGATGAATACGGAAGAAGAGCTATTCTACCCCCGGTTGACCGTTGGTCAAACAATGGACTTTGCTACTCGGCTCAAAGTTCCATCTCATCTTCCTGATGGTACCGCATCTGTGAGCGAATATACTGCTGAGACAAAGCAGTTCCTCCTGGAATCTATGGGGATCTCACATACCGCTGACACGAAGGTGGGGAACGAGTTTGTGCGGGGCGTATCAGGAGGAGAACGAAAGCGAGTATCTATCATTGAATGCCTGGCAACAAGGGGATCTGTCTTTTGCTGGGACAACAGTACCCGCGGTCTCGATGCCAGTACTGCATTGGAGTGGGCTAAGTCTTTGCGAGCAATGACTAATGTTCTCGGACTCTCAACAATTGTGACCCTGTATCAAGCAGGGAATGGAATCTACAACCTCTTTGATAAGGTCTTGGTTCTGGACGAGGGGAAGCAAATCTTCTATGGCCCTGCAGCTGCAGCAAAACCTTTCATGGAGAACCTGGGGTTTGTCTATACCGATGGTGCCAATGTTGGTTAGTCGTCTCAAATCATCTCCCACTGCGGAATCTCGACTAACATCTACCTTTGGCTAGGCGACTTTCTAACAGGTGTGACCGTGCCTACTGAGCGAAGGATAAGGTCTGGGTATGAAAACAGGTTTCCGCGGAATGCCGATGCTATCATGGCAGAGTATAAGGCGTCAGCTATTTACAGCCACATGACAGCAGAATACGACTATCCCACAAGCGCAGTTGCCAAGGAGCGGACGGAGGCATTCAAGGAGTCTGTTGCCTTCGAAAAGACCACGCACCAACCACAGAAGAGTCCGTTCACCACTGGATTTGGGACCCAAGTTCTCGCATGTACGCGGCGCCAGTATCAGATTCTGTGGGGGGAGAAATCCACATTCTTGATCAAACAGATTCTGTCTCTGGTTATGGCCTTTATTGCCGGATCCTGCTTTTATAACGCTCCCCAGACATCTGCCGGGCTCTTCACCAAAGGT